ATATGCAATATTACATGTATTAAATTGGAAATATCATGGATCCATAAACGATAACTTTGCATACATGTATAACATAACCATTGATACTTTTTCATAGGCAAAACTTATTTATTTTTATACCCCCGCACAACAAAGTTGTAAGGGGGGTATACTGGAATCAGCTTGGCCGTCCGTCCGGCCGTCCGTCCGGCCGTCGGTTTTTTCTTGTCCGCCCAATAACTTAAGATTCCTTTGACCCTTAGTCTTCATATTTGGCATGGAGGTTAGTCATGATTAGTAGATGACCCCTATTGATTTTGAGGTCACTAGGTCAAAGGTCAAGGTCACAGGGACCTTTGATTTCAAAAAGCTTGTCCGCCAATAACTTAAGATTCCTTTGACCCTTAGTCTTCATATTTGCATGGAGGTTAGTCATGATTAGAAGATGACCCCTATTGATTTTGAGGTCACTAGGTCAAAGGTCAAGGTCACAGGGGCCTTGACTTCAAAAAGCTTGTCCGCCCAATAACTTAAGATTCCTTTGACCCTTGCTCTTCATATTTGGCATGGAGGTTAGTCATGATTAGTAGATGACCCCTATTGATTTTGAGGTCACTAGGTCAAAGGTCAAGGTCACAGGGGCCTTGACTTCAAAAAGCTTGTCTGCCCAATAACTTAAGATTCCTTTGACCTACAGTCTTCATATTTGGCATTGAGGTTAGTCATGATTAGTAGATGACCCCTATTGATTTTGATGTCACTAGGTCAAAGGTCAAGGTCACAGGGGCCTTGACTTCAAAAAGCTTGTCCGCCACAATAACTTAAGATTCCTTTGACCTACAGTCTTCATATTTGGCATGGAGGTTAGTCATGATTAGTAGATGACCCCTATTGATTTTGATGTCACCAGGTCAAAGGTCAAGGTCACAGGGGCCTTGTCTTCAAAAAGCTTGTCAGTCCAATAACTTAAGATTCCTTTGACCCTTAGTCTTCATATTTGGCATGGAGGTTAGTCATGATTAGTAGATGACCCCTAATGATTTTGAGGTCACTAGGTCAAAGGTCAAGGTCACAGGGGCCTTGACTTCAAAAAGCTTGTCCGCCCAATAACTTAAGATTCCTTTGACCTACAGTCTTCATATTTGGCATTGAGGTTAGTCATGATTAGTAGATGACCCCTATTGATTTTGATGTCACTAGGTCAAAGGTCAAGGTCACAGGGGCCTTGACTTCAAAAAGCTTGTCCGCACAATAACTTAAGATTCCTTTGACCTACAGTCTTCATATTTGGCATGGAGGTTAGTCATGATTAGTAGATGACCCCTATTGATTTTGATGTCACCAGGTCAAAGGTCAAGGTCACAGGGGCCTTGTCTTCAAAAAGCTTGTCAGTCCAATAACTTAAGATTCCTTTGACCTACAGCCGTCATATTTGGCATGGAGGTTAGTCATGATTAGTAGATGACCCCTATTGATTTTGAGGTCAGCAGGTCAAAGGTCAAGGTCACAGGGACTTTTACTTCAAAAAGTTTGTCTACCAATTAACTTAAGATTCCTTTGACCCACAGTCTTCTTATTTGGTATGGATGTTGATCATGACTATAAGGTGACCCCTATTGATTTTGAGGTCACTGGGTCAAAGGTCAAGGTCACAGGGACCTTGACAAAAAAAAGCTTTTCTTCTCAATTGCTAAAGAATGTCCTGTCCGCAATGTATTGATTTTGACATTTGAAGCGTGTAGAATACATAACTTAGCAATGCACTGTCTTAGTAACCTCAGATTTGGCAGGGAGGTTGTCCTTGAGCTCTAAATGGCCACTGTTTATTCTGACAAAGTGGTATGCGGGGGTATTCAAGCCATGATAGTGGCAGTTCTAGTTTTTATAATAATAATAATAATAATAATAATAATAATAATAATATTAATAATATTAATAATAATAATAATAATACTTATGATTATGATGATGAGGATGATGATAATAGTGATAATAATAATAATAATAATAATAATAATAATAATAATAATAATAATAATAATAGTAAAAGACGTTTTAGAAGCGCTAAGAAATTTTACACAACTAAGGTTTATAGACCAGACTGATTACTATCTATTTTTGCACGCCCAGTGTTCGGGAACTTGGGTTATACTTCAAATAAATCTAGACAAGTATGCGCCTTTCACTTTTATTTTCTTGATAAGCTTTGAAAAGCGATTCTCTGTAAATATTCATTTACATTTGTACTGCACAATATATAATAAAGTAAACATAGTTCCAGATTTAAGCTGACGTGATTCTCAATAGCAATTGTTTGATGGACTGTGGGGGGGGGGTCTTTTGTCCTACATGTATTTTTTGTCCACCTTGTCATTTTAAGATGGGAGGGGGGCTTTTGTCCGTATCCCCATTTAAATAAATAAGTTACTTACTTACTTACTTATACACATAAATGAAGTATAAAGATCCTTTCACATTATCTGCGGATTTCATAATTAAATAAAACTTTATTAGTATAAAAATATTTGGAGTATCGGTAAAAATTCGGAAGTCAAATTTAAAAAGTGATTTTACTAACAATATATAATTTAGTGTGTTCTTAACTTGAGTTTTTAAATCAATCTACAATTTTTATTTTTTTAAACAGAAATTTACTTTTACAAAAACTGTTTCCAAGATAAATTATTTTATTTTAACCAGGTAACAAATGTTAATTTACATAGCACGGTCATGTTCCCCTGTCCTTAACAATGTTCAATTCACCGAATTATGCAGAAACACGGCTGATGGGAGACGAGGAAACTCGGGAGATGATGATGATATTTTTCAAAAAATGCTATTTCGAATAATTTGACATCATCTATCAACAATACATGTACATACACCCCAGTGACATCCATCTGATTCTAGCTTGTGAACTTAGATATAATTGGACCTGGCGGCAGGGTACTTCAAAGTTTACTTTAAGATAAATCTTAATTGTGTCATGTTTAAATGACGAATTCCGCCAAATTAAAGGATAACAACAACACGACGCTGCAAAAGCATTGGAAAGAATACAGCAGCTATGTCTGTTTCATTTTAATATGTCGGGTTAGCGTCTTTATAATATCTAGAACAAAATCACATAGGATTACAATTTAATTCCTTATTTCGTACATGAATTATATTAGAAATTGACAGTAAAAATACCGTTAAGACATTCAACACCAATTGCGCTAATTTACCTTATCGGAGAAAACCGACACTCGATATACCCTGCTGCGTTTATGATCAATATCCGGATCAATATCCGGCTTAATCAGTATTGTCTTCGATTATGGCAATACAGCACGTGGCTATTACACAATACTATGTCATAAATGAGACCGCGCGAAAAGAAATCAAAATTGGGCTATTCGGAACTTCTTAAGATTTCTATTCAAAACTTGTGTACAGAAATGCAAATCTTTGTTTCCTGAAAAAAAGATTAAATAAATAAAAATAAATAAATGAGTAATGAATGAATGAATGAATGAATGAATGAATAAATAAATAAATAAATAAATAAATAAATAAATAAATAAATAAATAAATAAATAAATGATTGGTTGATTGATTCAATGAATGAATGAATGAATGAATGAATGAATGAATGAATGAATGAATGAATGAATGAATGAGATATCATTGTTGTTTTTTTTACATATGCAAGTACATGTATTATATTATGTTTAGCCTATTTTTATAGGACATATATCAACGTAAAATTTAATTGCTGTGTGGACAATCCCGATTTCATCTTCGTGATTTCACAATTATTTTAACTTTCACGATTTCAACTTCACAGATCCACGATTTTATTATAATTAATTCATGTTTTGAACATCACAATTTCAACTTTATCTTTTTCTCATGTTTGGCTTATCATTATAAAATATTATCATGATAATGAAAAGGAAATTACAAAAAATAACATGATTCACCATAGATGCAAAATGCAAAACAGTACTATCTAATCGTGAATCGCAATTGTAAAGTATTCGCTATTTATCTGCGGGTGTATGCTAAAAAGCAAACCAAGCGGTATTGAGCTAGAATACCGCGTCTTCATGTTACAGGTGGATGTCTTACACGTTCTGTGCACTGACGATATTATTTGTACGCAACTGACGCGTTAATAACTCCAGGAAATTTTGCATTGTGTTAATTGTCAAATGTCTGATAAATATATGATCAGACTATTTCTTTACTCTTACAGGAAATAGGCTATTCAGAAGTAAATTCTATATACAGAATCCGTATTTGCACGAATACGGAATTTCGTATTTTAGTAATATACGGACTTGTTATACAAATTCCGTATATTAGTAAAATACGGACTCTGTACATCAAAGTTCCCGTATATTACGAGTGTACGGAGTTCGTATATGAGTCATATACGGACTGATATAATATACGGTCCCGTACATCTCCGTATTTCAAGTTTCCCGTATTCTTACACGTATATTAATGATATACGGAATTCCGTACACTTCCGTATATCCATGTCTTTTTCGCAGTGAAACTCACAACGATGTTTTCTCATTTGTTCCCAAATTTAGGAATTGATTTCATGAGTGGTCAATTTAACATCAAGCTTTTAACATTATCAAAATGAACTTGTTTAAAGTAAACTAAAAATCTAAATTTTTCTCCGAAAAGAGAAATTTTCAAATTTTTCATAATTACACTAGTCATAAAATTCGGCTGATGTAACGGTTTCTTGGTTAAGAATAGTATGTTCAGTTTCTGACTGCAAACATTGTATGAATTAGTTGATTTGAAATTTGGAATTTTTGCGAAAGTGGTTATGGAATAACAAGGAAACTGATGTTTTTAAACGATGTTACATGAAGTGTCTTATGTGGCTCAGACCTTAAATAAAGTCTTTATTATTATTATTCTTATTATTATTTCTTATTATTATTATTATTATTATTATTATTATTATTATTATTATTATTATTATTATTATTATTTTTATTATTATTATACATGATTTCAGGTTATAACAATGACAAGCCCGTCTGCTATGATCTGGAACAACTTGAGTGAAGGTAGGAGTAGTTCCCCTTACTGCGGATCACCACTGGATATTCTCCCTTGTTCACCGTCATGTTTACCTATGCCTCCAAGTGAACAAAATAATCAGGTAAGAGGTTGATAATTAAGGTATTCTTACTTGAATGCTTTCTCGCCAAAAAAATTCTAACATCGGCCAATTTCGTAATAAAACAGTTATTTCCGGAACATTATTTTTCACAATCTTCGGTATTCAATATTTTTTAACTATTTAAACGGGAATTTAGTACAAAGGGATAAGGATGAGTAATTGTAAATAATCTTATGCCCAAGATTTTGAAAAAAATAACGTTTGCGAAATAACCCATTTGCTATGATATTTGTGGATATAAGACTTTTTTGGTGGGAAAGCATTATAGTAAGACTGCCTTAATTAACATGCATATACAAATTAACATAATAGTATGGAACCTTTGTGGCCAGGTGGTTGAAGTAGCTTTACTGAGCCCGTTTTATAGAAACGTTCATAGATCATGTAAACAAAACGGCTATATATGTTTTATAGATACGTTCCCAGATTAGAAACATGGAGCAGCAGATCAGATTACGTAGTAGAGCAGCAGAAGTTAGATGGTCTTCCGATAAATGTCAACAGTCTACAACTGGTATGTTATATTTACTGTAGTTTAACACTGACAAGTTTGTACATATACTTTCAAAGAATTGATAGCCTAAATGGATTTATAAGTGATAGGCTAAGTGGACTAATAATAAAAAGGCTAAGTGGAATAATAATAAATAGGCTAAGTGGACTAATAATAAATAGGCTAAGTGGAATAAAATAAATAGCCTAAGTGGACTAATAATAAATAGGCTAAGTGGTCTAATAATAAATAGGCTAAGTGGAATAATAATAATAAATAAGCTAAGTGGACTAATAATAAATAGGCTAAGTGGACTAATAATAAATAGGCTAAGAGGACTATTAATAAATAGGCTAAGTGGACTAATAATTGATTGGCTAAGTAGACTATCTGCCTTAAAATCTTCAAATTGTAGGTTCAAAGTCATCTTGGGTTACAATTTTCTCTTAATATGACACTTGTAATGGTTAGTGGAAGGAGGTAGATTTAAGAGTGGTTCTAAGTGGGGCTTCCTTTGTCAAGTGGTTAAGGTCATTGACTTCAAACCACTTGCTCCTCACCACTGTGGGTTGGAATCCCGCCAAGGAATTAAGCTACTTTCGTGTGAGGAGGTTAAACCGCCAATGTTACATAAAAACTCAGCTTATTGAGAGACACACTGTATTTATATTTATTTACCATTGATTTTCAGGTTATACTATGGGTAAAGTTTTGAATGTTTTGGACATGTTGGACAGACACAACTTTGATAAAGTAGAAAGTAACAATTGTCTAGACTCACTATATAACAAAATCTTCACTGTCACACAGAACAAAGATGGAAATGAGGTATGTAAACCAGGTTTTAAATCTTCCTTTATTCTTCCTTGATGGTTTTATACTGACTCACTAAAGTTACAAACTTGGTTTACTCCTTTACGTATGTTTCAGGGGGTGTCTGTGGCAGAGTGGTTAAGGTCTGTGACTTCAAACTTATTGCCCCTTACCGCTGTGGGTTCAAATCCCAATAAGGACTTTAAATGTGGAGAAACTATCCAGCTAAACGTTGGTGCTTCTTCTCTGGTGCCTGTTTGTGTACAGTTTGGGTCTCCCTCCACCTGTAAAGCTGGAAAATTGCCATATGACCTCTACTGTGTTGGTGTGAGTAAAACCCAATAAAAATTGTAAGTTTCAGCTGGCCTTTAAGTAGTATAATTTTCAGGAAGATATCAGTTATTGTTCCTTAGCCTCCTATAAAAATTGTTATTTTAGCATTGACGTACACTTGTAAATGTGTTTTGTTATCTTTTCAGCCATTGGTCAGTGACGAGCCAATCATGACGCTGCTTATAGACTGGGCTGTTAGTACCAAGAGACAAGGTGCTCATAGAGCTGTTGTGGTTGCTAAGTTACTAGAGAAAAGGCAAAGTGACATTAGGGCAGAGGTAAGAAATTGAATGAATGTAAATTTTTAAGCAATTCTTATCTGTATGGAAGGTAAACAAATAGATTTTTGTCTGTTTGTAGAAAAAGTGGAGTTATTGTGATAGCTGCAGCATCGTATTTGTCGTCGTGCAAAAGCTTTAATGTAACCCATGATTTAAACATTTTAAAAGTTATCAAAATAAAACCTGGAATACTTGCTTATTATGAGAAAGTGCTGTTGTTAGGCAAAGGGAATAATTCATAAAGCCATATTTATAGAGTTTTTAAATCTTTCTCCACCAGTAAAGCTAAAAAGTAGACCTTTACAATGTTGGTTCAACATAAAAGCTAAAAGCCTACCAAACAAACAAAAAATGTAGAGAATTTGCTTTAAGAATTATTTACTGTTCAGACACAGAATTATGGCACTGGCTGACATGTTGTGTTTTCTTATGCTTCAGAAATATGGGGATTCAGATGTACCTGATGATAAAGATTCTGCTGGTAGTGATATGATGATACCAGCCAGTGTTCCTGTCTTCCAATCCCTACTTCTTAACTTCCTAGATACTAAAGCTCCTGTTCTAGGTAAGCTGTTTCCATAATTAGACCTTTATAAGTTTGAATATTTGAAGAATTTTGGAACTGTCCGCAATGAAATGTTTCCTTGGTTCAAGAATGATGGTGTGATTGCGTTATATACAAGCATATCGTAAAAGCATGCTAATGTTAGTGTTACACTAAAGGCCTGTCAATGAAAAATTATTCTTTTTAACAGTTTACCATTCTTATTTTAGATATGTAATAAATAGATTATTATGTTCGTGTAGATTCAATACTAAATTTTATTGAACAGGTTAAAAAAAATATGCTTGCCAGAGGCTCGCATATTATGATTTTATTATTCCCCGCCGAAAATTTTAGGCGGAGGATATAGAAATAGTCTCCGTCCGTCCGACCTTCCGTCCTTCCGTCCGTCCGACATTTTTGTCCGGAGCATATCTCTTAAAGTATTTGAGTTATCAACTTGAAACTTCATAGGTGGATAGACCTCATTGAGGAGGAGTGCAGTGCACAAGAATGATAACTCTACCTTGCATGATTTTGAGTTATTGCCCTTTGTTATTTTTCAAAATTGATTTTTGTCCAGAGCATAACTCCAAAAGCCTATGAGATATTAACATGAAACTTCATAGGTGCATAGATCTCACTCAGGAGGTGTGCAGTGCACAAGAATGATAACTCTACCTTCCATAATTTTTGAGTTATTGCCCTTTGTTATTTTTCATACCTAATTTTTCACCTGAGTGGAGCATAACTCAAAAAGTGTTTGAGATATTAACATGAAATGTCATAGATGGATAGATCTTATTGAGGAGGAATGTTGTGCGCAAGAATGATAACTCTTCCCTATACAATTTTTGAGTTATTGCCCTTTGTTTTTTTTCATGCTATTTTGTCCAGAGCTTATCTCAAAAAGTATTTGAGGTATCAACTTGAAACTTCAAAGGTGGATGGATCTCATTGAGGAGGAGTGCAGTGCTTAAAAATGATAACTCTACCCTGCATTATTTTTAAGTTATTGCCCTTTGTTATTTTTCAAAATTGATTTTTGTCCAGAGCATAACTCAAAAAGCCTTTGAGATATCAAAATGAAACTTCATAGGTGCATAGATCTCACTCAGGAGGTGTGCACTGCACAAGAATGATAACTCTACCTTTTATAATTTTTGAGTTATTGCTCTTTGTTCTTTTTCATACTTAATTTTTCAATTCAATTTTTTTCTCAAAAAGTATTTGAGGTATCAACTTGAAACTTCATAGGTGGATAGATTTTACTGAGGAGGGATGCAGCACACAAGAATGATAACCTACCCTGCAGTATTTTTTCAGTAATTGCCCTTTGTTATTTTCAGCCATCAGTATTCACATAGGTTTCAAATCTGTAATCACTATAGCCATCAGTTTTCATTACCAAAAGACCTCTTAAAATGGAATTATTCCGCTCTACTACATATACATTCTTCCAATGAGCAAACACATTTGGCGGGGATGGCCATGTTGACATGGCTCTTGTTCAACTTGTTCTATAAATTTAGTATTAATGAATTTGTTCAATTAAGCAATATTATGCTCGCCAGAGCCTCGCATAATAAGATTTGTACCACTCGTTATTAAACCTACACTCAATTGAATATTTTCTATTTATAGACGATACAGCTAACTCGAGTGAGGACAGCCAGCAAGCGTTCGCTAACTTGATCCACCTGTTCTCAGAGTTAATACGGCATGAAGTGTTCTCACACGATGCGTACATGTGCACATTGATCTCACGTGGAGATCTCATGTCCGCGCCAGCTGTAGCTTCCATGGTGGCCGACAGTGTCGACTTGCTCAGTATGAAGAGTGAAGTGGAGAGTATTAAACATGAAGTAAGTTCATTAATTGTTACATTGTAGTGAATATACTCATTATTATAGACAGTAAATACTCACTAAACCAGACGTGACAAAATTTGCGGATTAGTGAGGATTTCGGTTTACTGAGGAATTAAAGAGGGCGGGGGGGGGGGGGGGTGTTAATTAAATTTAATGCTTTTTTGTGTATTTGAATCCATACTTCAAAATTTGTAAATAGGTAAAATTTTGACAGTTTTGTCAAATTATTCCAAGTTTTTGTCTACCAATTGAAGGATTTTCTTCAAACTTGGCTCAAATGTTCACCTCAACAAGGGGATGTGCAGAACCCATGTTGCCCATGTGTCAGCTCAAGGTCAAGGTCACAATTGAAGGTCAAATATCAAACACTATCAAATATTACACAGTATGTCATGTCCGCTCTGTAAGTCCTACACTACTTGAAAGATTTTCTTCAAACTTGGCTCAAATGTTCACCTCAACCAGGGCCCAGGGGATGTGCAGAATCCATGTTGCCAATGTGTCAGCTTAAGGTCAAGGTCACAATTGAAGGTCAAATATCAAACAATCAAATATTACACAGTATGTCGTGTCCGCTCTGTAAGTCCTACACTAATTGAAAGATTTTCTTCAATCTTGGCTCAAATGTTCATCTCAACCAGGGGATGTGCAGAACTGATGTCACTCTTAAGGTCAAGGTCACACTTGAAGGTCAAAAATTGACTTAGAAAAGATTCTTAAATTTTAACATTTATTTGAATATTTCTGAATCTAGAAAAGGTATTTGCTTGAAACTTAAAATATATTTGAAGTGTCACAATTTAGATATGCTGTTCAAGTTTCATAACTCTGTATTGCATTTTAACAAAGTTATGCCCCTTTTTAAGTCTTCAAATTTACATACAATCAAATATTAGACAATATGTCGTGTCCGCTCTATAAATCCTATACTAATGGAAGAATTTTCTTCAAACTTTACTCAAATGTTCACCTCAACAAGGTTATGTGCAGAATCCATGTCACCTTTGTGCCGGCTAAAGGTCAAGGTCACACTTGAAGGTCAAAAATTGACTTAGAAAATGTTCTTAAATTTTAACATGTACTTGAATATTTCTGAAACTAGCTCAGGCATTTGCTTGAAACTTAAAAGATATATGAGGTGTCGCAAATAAGATATGCAGGTCAAGTTTCATTACTCTGTATTGCATTTTGACAAAGTTATGCCCCTTTTTAAGTCTTCAAATTTACATACAATCAATACGAGACAATATGTTGTGTCCGCTCTATAAATCCTATACTAATGAAAGGATTTTCTTCAAAGTTTACTCAAATATTCACCCCAACTGGGCGATGTGCAAAACCCATCTTACCCTTGTGCCAGATTAAGGTCAAGGCCACACTTGAAGGTCAAAAATTGACTTATAAAAAAAATGTTTAGTACATAGGGAAAATGAAAGGTTATTTGTAACTGTTTCGAACATGATTTGATGATATATATTTATACTATTACCTGTACAATTAGTCTTTTTTTCACCAGAGATAATTTCTTTTTGTGCCCCCACGTTAGTGGCGGGCATTTAGATTTACCCTTGTCCGTCCGTCCTTTCCGTCCGTCCTTCCGTCCGTCCGTCCGTCCGTCCTTCCGTCCGTCCGTCCGTCCGTCCGTTCACTTTTGTGTCGCACGTAACTCAAAAAGTATTTGACCTAGAGTCATGAAACTTTACAGGAATGTTGATCAGCATGTGTAGTTGTGCACCTGGGTATTTTGGTCTGGATATTTTCAGTATTTTCAGAGTTATTGCCCTTGACTTAGTAAAATTTGGCAATTTTCAACTTGTGTCGCATGTAACTCCAAAAGTATTTGACCTAGAGTCATGAAACTTTACAGGAATGTTGATCAGCATGTGTAGTTGTGCACCTGGGTATTTTCGTGTGGATATTTTTAGTATTTTCAGAGTTATTGCCCTTGATTTAGTAAAATTTGGCAATTTTCAACTTGTGTCGCATGTAACTCCAAAAGTATTTGACCTACAGTCATGAAACTTTACAGGAATGTTGATCAGCATGTGTAGTTGTGCACCTGGGTATTTTGGTCTGGATATTTTTAGTATTTTCAGAGTTATTGCCCTTGACTTAGTAAAATTTTGCAATTTTCAACTTGTGTCGCATGTAACTCAAAAAGTATTTGACCTAGAGTCATGAAACTTTAAAGGAATGTTGATCAGCATGTGTAGTTGTGCACCTGGGTATTTTCGTCTGGATATTTTTAGTATTTTCAGAGTTATTGCCCTTGATTTAGTAAAATTTTGCAATTTTCAACTTGTGTCGCATGTAACTCAAAAAGTATTTGACCTAGAGTCATGAAACTTTACAGGAATGTTGATCAGCATGTGTAGTTGTGCACCTGGGTATTTTCGTGTGGATATTTTTAGTATTTTCAGAGTTATTGCCCTTGATTTAGTAAAATTTGGCAATTTTCAACTTGTGTCGCATGTAACTCCAAAAGTATTTGACCTACAGTCATGAAACTTTACAGGAATGTTGATCAGCATGTGTAGTTGTGCACCTGGGTATTTTGGTCTGGATATTTTTAGTATTTTCAGAGTTATTGCCCTTGACTTAGTAAAATTTTGCAATTTTCAACTTGTGTCGCATGTAACTCAAAAAGTATTTGACCTAGAGTCATGAAACTTTACAGGAATGTTGATCAGCATGTGTAGTTGTGCACCTGGGTATTTTGGTCTGGATATTTTTAGTATTTTCAGAGTTATTGCCCTTGACTTAGTAAAATTTTGCAATTTTCAACATGTGTCGCACATAACTCAAAAAGTATTTGACGTAGAGTCATGTAACTTTACAGGAATATTGATCAGCATGTGCAGTTGTGCACCAGGTATTTTCGTCTGGATTTATTTAGTATTTTTAGAGTTATTGCCCTTCACGTAGAAAATTTTTGCAATTTTTAACTTGTGTCGCAAGTTTCTCAAAAAGGATTTGACGTAGTCAATAAACCTTATAGGCAGGTTGCTCAGCATATTTTAGATTTGCACCTGGGGTTTGGCTTGTGGATTTATCCAGTATTTGTAGAGTTATTTCCCTTGACTTAGTAAAAAGATTGACAGAACAGTGTCGCGGTGGGGGCACCCGTGTCCTATGGACACATTTCTAGTTATGTATTTGTGCCACATAAGTTATTCCCTTAACCACCTTTCCAAGTCGTCTTCTGTCAAGGACATTGGTGGGGGTATGAATCGCATTCAGCGATAGTTCTAGTTATACAATGAAAATAGAAGGGAGAAATCTGGGACCCTGAGAAATATCCCATTTACTGAGGACATTCGGCTTAATGGAGATCCAGTTTTTAGTGAGAAAAAGATCTTTCAAGACTCTTACGTTACAGTACAAAAGTGTATTACACATTTCATCAAGAAGATAGCATATACCCATATAAGTGGTTTTTTCTGCGGTGACTTTATTTCTGCGTTTTCTGCGGTCAGTGTCGGCACCGCAGAAATAGAAACCGCAGAATATTTCTCTAACCTGCTACGATATGTATCCTACATTGTGACCTGTTTCGTCTAAAGTAATAACGACAAACAGATTATAACGGTTAGCCAGTTTTCAAGTTGTATAAAATTGCTGTCGGCTAAGTATGTAATGTGTGTTTGTAAGGATGTACTTATTGTTAATTATGCTAATTCAAGAATAAAGATATTTCAAACCATTCCAACCCTTATACTGCTAAATAATCGTTGTTTACTTAAATTGTCATCTGTTGCGATACGGTAAACTTCTATCATTTTCATTAAATTAAAGATCATACTACCGGGATATATTTTTCACATGTTACTTCACGCTGATCAAAGATGTATACCTTTCTATTGTTGCGCATTATATTTGTTTGCAAACAAACAATATAATTGTTTGTAATTACTATACAGTTTTGCGGTGACGACGATAAACAAATGCGAACGTGTACATGCAAATATAATAGATAGGGTAATGTGACTTAGAATTTGAGAAAACAGGTCGCAGAATTTAAATCATGTTTTGTCTAAAGAATGTGCCGCAGATATAAAGTCCGCAGAAATAAAAACATGCCAAAATTTGGAAAAACCACAGAATTTGGAGCCCGCAGAAAAAACCACTTATACGGTATCTATATAAGATATTGTCACCTTAGTGTATTAACCAATTAACTCCAAATAAATGTCAATAAGAGTTAACCATTACTCCAGTAAGGTGACAATATGTGAATTGATTGATTGACGGAGAAATATTAGTAAATCATCATTGTTATTTCAGCACCAAGATGATATTAAGGTGGACATGGACATACATACAATGGATACAGATTTTGGTAGCTTCTTTGACGTGAAAGATGAACCAAGACTTAGTCCAACTGCACCTGGTATGCTGAATTTAATTAACATTCTTGGTTTAAGTATTTCACATCTTTATATAAACTTTGAACTAAAAGATAGGGCATATTTGTAACAGTTTTGTCTGTGGCTGAGTGGTTAAGGTTGTTGACTTCAAGCAACTTGCATCTCAACTTTGTGGGTTTGAATCCCGCCTGTGAGGAAGCTATCCAGCTGGCTTACGGAATGTCAGAGGTTCTACTCAGGTGCTCATTCATGCGTGGAATAAATGCATAGGTCGTCCTCCACCAATGAAACTGGAATGTTGCCATATAACCTTTACAGTGTTGAAGCGAAATAAAACCCAACCAAAAAAACATTTATTTTTTTAAAATGTGTATCTTTTTTTTCCATCTATTTGAGGGTTTTATAGTATTTCTGTCTTGGATCCAGTTATTTACTTAATGTTGCATTTACACTGTGACTAAAAGTTAGATCTACTTATTTCTTAAATGTGGAGCATTATTTAAAGCTGATTTTAATTAGATTGGTGGCATTCACCTATACAAACTTTTGTTATTGCAAGCAGTCAAGTATATACGAAAGACCAGTGGGGACATTTCAACTTCACGCATTAAAGATTTCATCTTCATGAATTCAGCTTCACGAATTCACGATTTCGACTTCTTGAATTCACGATTTCAACTTCATGAACTCACGATTTCAACTTAAATCTTTCAGAAATAATGTCCTATTTTATATTAAATAAGCTATCTGGCAAGAATTTGCAAGGTGATTGGTTAATGATTCTACTGCTCTGGTTATTCCTTCACTAAAGGTTTAAACATATTTATTCCCAAAAGTATATATAATGTACATACTAATAAACAACAAACAAAATATGTTTATATAATAGAAAAGGATGAGAACGAAAGATGAGTCTTATAGAATTCTTCTCCTTGACCATTAAAGATGATGAAATCTCCATACGATCCTAACAATGTACATGATTGTAACAGAAAACTCAAACCATCATATGACTTTAAACAAAACTACCAACACCAACAACAAATAATGCCATACACTTCGACTACTTGTTTGTAACTTCACATATTCTGTAACAGTTATTTTTCTTACCTATATTCATACTTAGAGTGTGATTTATTTTGCAGCTTCCGTTAAATCAATTAAGTCAGAGAAAGAGCAGCCTATAGCAAGTGTAAGTAAGCCCGAGCCGCCGATGATGGCTGAGCTCAAAGGTCCATCCAGACATCAGCAGTACGCTACCCACTTCCCACTACCTCAAGACGAGTTGTCGAGTCACGAATGTAATCAAAGACTAGTGGTTCTGTTCGGTGTTGGAAAAGCTCGAGACGCTGCTCGCCACATCTTAAAAAAGGTCGGGAAAGAGATCCTACGATTGTACAGTCGTAAAAGCTGTATAGACATGAGCAGCGGTGATCTCGGTAAACCGAAGAAAAAGAAGGATAAAGACGAACCTAGTTCGGTATCGGTTGTCGGTAACTTAGAAGTGCTGTTTGGAAAGTTTCATAAGTTATCATATTATGATCAACATGTGGTCACGTGGCAGTGTACCATGGCAGTTCACGAACAGATCAATTGTTTTACGTCGGGAACGTCGACGTATTTACCGCAGGTGGAGAATATATCATACTTGTTTGATCTGATGGAACATTCAATGGCTGTTAATACTCTCCTAGAATTTTCAGTACAGGTTTGTCTCCCTTCTGTTTAAGCTTTCTTTTGATTTCTGTAGTTTGTTTGAAGTATGACATTGTGACAGCATATATATAAAGAGGAAAATCTACCTGCCATCCGAAAGATTTGTTTATCAGTTTCACACTGTTTGAATTTTCTCATGTTTATAAAAAACTTACTTTTAATTTCTGCTATTTGTTTGAAATATTGCATGTAAAGTTTTGACATAGAAAAGCTGGAAAGTCACCGTATGACCTTTACAGTGCTGGTGCTAAACTAGATAACAAACAAAACCTTAAAAAATGTTTCAAGGCAATAACACCTCTGTCTGCAAAATGGTTAAACATGTTTAAAAATAATGTCTGCAAAATGGTTAAAAATATTTATATGAATAATATTTATCATATTTAATCCCCACCCCACAAAAAAAAATAGGTCTTTTATGATTTTACTTCAAAATTCCAAAATAATTCTAAAACCTATTAAATTTTTCTTTATCATTTTCAGCTTCTGAAAGATTTGAGTATAGTGGAGAGCCAATTGTCTGCCAGTAACTCTAACTTATCTGGCATCTACACAACATCACTATGTCTGTGTATTGTGGCAATCTTCAGGAAATATCATTCCTTCCTGCTAGTCTCTGAAGATCTCACATTTCAGGCATTTGAAGGGTATGTAACAAGTAGTTTTATAAGCTGGTATATTTCGGAGAAAAAAAAATCAAGCTATTATGATTGGTGTGTTGTTGTTGTTTTTTAAAAACTTTGATGTACTGGTTTCCGAGTTCTAGTTGTTTCTGGAAACCAGCACCCATTATTAAAAGCACATGTAATTTTAACTTATCAACATATACCTTGGATGACCTGCTTATCATGACAAAGTGCAGTTGTTAGACAAGAGGCATAATTCTGAAAGCTATACTTGTATTTTTTAGAGTTATGCACCTTTTTAAGTTAGAATTTTTATAAAAAATTTATGTTAGTATCTCATAACTCATGGGAGCGACAAGTGTGATCAGTTCTAGTAAATCCATCAGAGTCAAATACTAATAAAAGGTCAATGATGATATTTTTAAATATATCTTTTTATTATATACATCCTCAGGAAAAGAAACCAGGGGCAATAACTCCAATAATTGTTCAAATACAGTAGAACTTCTGTGTCACATTTCAGTGTGATGTAATATGTCCATGTACATGTATATTTAATTTTTTTTTTCAGTTTGATAGGAGTGGTGAAGCATGTATGTAACCCAGCCGACTGTTCATCAGCAGAAAGGTGTATCCTGGCATACCTGTATGATGTCTACACATCCTGTAGCTATCTCAAGGTGAATTGTCTCCCTTTATTGTACATCTCTGATGTTTAATTATCTCACATTATTGTAGCTGTGTTAGAGTAATTAAGCCACCCTACAGGGCGTAGACTACGTCCTTAACAGTATCTGTGTGACTTTAAACTCAACAAGAATAATTTTTGTAATATTAAAGGGACTCCATTAGGTTTTATGACATGATGGTAAGGAAAAAAAATTTCGAAATGAATATTCAATTTCATGTAGGTCTTGACCATTTACTTGTGTGCAATATTAAAGAATAGATCATTTGCTCACTCCATTTTTCCATAATAATTATTCAAAACCCAAAATTGGAAAAACATAAATCAGGCTAAAAATAGCACAAAAATACATTTCAAATTTATTTCATAGTATATTTCTTAATTATCTTTTGCATATCTTTTCAGTTTAAATGCCACAGTTGATCTAGTAAGAAATTCAAATTTTTTTGGTTTTTTTTTTTTTAGCCTTTTGGACTTCTGTGGAGTTCCTTTAATGAAAACTTTTACATTCCAGCATCTTTGCGAAAATGCCATGAACAAATACAATTTTATCTATGCAATTAAGACTTTTAATAACGGCCATAAGTGAATTGGTTAGGAAAATTTGTGGTTAAACTTAAACTTATTTTACCAAATTTTTATTTTACAGAACAAGTTCCAAGAGATGTTTAGTAATGCCTACTCTAAGATACGAGTAACGTTATATGCTGATATCAAGCCATCTGCCTCTAACCTCATGTGGGATCCAGCATTCATGGGGAGCTTCTTGGAAAATGCTAAGTAAGATGGTGTCATTCAAACTTTAGTTATAAGACAACTTTTGTTTTATTTATCCAGCTTGAAATTGATTAGCCTTTGCCACAAGGTTTAAACCAGGTTAGTCTGGACGTTTTTGTTGGGTTTTATGTCACACCAACAAAGTATAGCTCATATAAATATTTTCAAGCTTTTCTGATGGAGGAAGACTTCAGGGGTTTGTCAGTGCATTATTTCAGGTACCAACAGGCACCTCAGTAGAATCGTCCGTGACCGAGTGGTTAAGGTTATTGACTTCAAATCACTTGCCCCTCACTGCTGTGTTTTCAAATCCTGAGAGGAACTTTGAATTCTTTCATTTGAGGAAGCTATCCAGCTAGCTTATGGAAAAAATGCACGGAGGGGCACCTGAGGTCTTCCTCCACCAGTAAAGCTGGAACGTCACCAAAATGACCTATACTGTGTCGGTGTGACGTACAACCTAAATCAAATAAACAAAAGAATCTCTTATGTTTCGTAAGTTAGCTAGATAGCTTCTTCACATTAAAGAAACCAAAGTCCCTATTGGGATTCAAATCCACAGCAGTGATGCAGTGCAGACTTACCAACTGTTGCTAGCTTAATTTTATATTGTCATCACTTAATTAAACTTTGAATGAATTGTACCAAATTTATAGAATGGCAAATCCTTTGTTCACTCAAAGTCTGAGAGATCATACAAATTTCTTTGAGAGCCTTAAGTCTTTCTGTGTCTGACCGAAAAGATGTGATTTTCACTATATTTCTGCCGAATGGACAACAAAACCAACATAATGGATTTGCGACCAGCACGGATCTAGACCAGCCTGCGCATCCGCACAGTCTGATCAGGATCCATGCTGTTCGCTTTCCAACTTTATTACAAGTAGAGAAACTGATAGCAAACAGCATAGATCCTGATCAGACTGCGCGGATGCGCAGGCTTGTCTGGATCCATACTGGTCGCAAATGCACTATGTTGGTTTTGTCGTGATGCGGCTCAAATATTATTTAACGACCTTACTGGGATTATACAGTTAATTCCAGCAAAGGGAGGTATTCAAAACAATTCTAGTTCAAGTGAACAAAGTTTTACTGTATATGATATTGAAATCAATCTTATTCTTATGAGGTAGTTTATCAGGCTAGCTTATGGTAAGGTAATGGTTTGATCTACTCTAGAACTGTAACAAGATGGAAGTATAAATGGCATTTTGTTACAGCACCTACTTTCGACAAAGTGCTCATAGGGCAAATACATTGCATGCATTCGTAGTTAAAGTTAACAATTATCAGTTTTGTAATGTTTAGTTATTGTTTATTTTTTAGGACAATACCTATAGAACAGGCATTGATAGATCAGCTGAATAAACAAGGAGCTAGTAGATACAGTTTTGTTGTGAACACAATGCTGAATATCTGTAAATTTCTACTCTCATCTGACAGGTATTATGTCTCTTTTTTGTCTTGTATCATAATAAGATGGTTCTTGATATTTTACACACAAAAAATTGTATCTTGGTCAATAGTAAATTTGGAAATAGATTTTTAGTATTTTCTTTCCTTCTTTTTGTTCTAAGTTTTGACTTGATCACTTGCAGAATATGACCTTAACTTAGTCTGTGTGACAAGAAATTAGCCACTCCATACAGCCCTCTTAACGTAAGATTTGGGGCCAAGATTTGGCACAAATGCACTCCCAGTTTCATATATATTTTTCCCAATTAAAAAAAGATTAATTTAAAACAACACAAAATTCCCCAATCTGCAGGCCCTTGGCCACTGCCTCCAAAGGTAATTAGGACCCTGCTTCCATACCAGAGGGTCAAGTTCATTAAAGGGACTCCACTGAGGTTCAAAAGACTTAAAACATAAAGTTTGAATAGATGTTATCCGGAACTCGTAAATGTGGGCTTTTCCATGCTATTCCTCCGGTACAAACAAACTTTTACAGTTATAGCTTTC